ACAGACAGAGACAAATTTAGAGACAGAGAGAGGGATGGACGGACGGAGAGAGAGACAGACAGAGACAGACAAAGAGACAGAGAGAGAGGGAGGGAGGGAGAGAGACATAAAGACAGAGACAGAAAATTTACTAGCGAATTTAATTTTTTCACAAAATCATTAAAATCATTTGTACCCATACGGTAATTAAGCTACATTGCACTTTATGGTAAAGATTCAAACTAGCAGCAAAACATCAAATTTGTAATAAAATGTGTGGCCAATGTATTGTAATGTAATGTATTGTACACATGTATTGTTGAATTTCTACATTAATAAAATAAATAAAACACACTCTAAACTAAAAGTAATTATACACAAATATCAAAAGATCATACTACTTGTACATGTATTATGTACATGTTTACACATAATTCAAATACATGTACTATACATGTAATTCATGATGGCACAGTATACTCCTCACAAAAATGTGTACAACAAAATTTTATCACATTAAAAATTACAACGTGCAAGGTAAACTAATACATAAAGAAAAAACATGTATTGGAACTGGTTTATTATCAACTAGCATGTACTACATTACATCATGTTGTAATAATGTGTGTCATTCAATATACAACTCACACCAGCTCTTGAGTCAACGGTAGCCCCTTTACTGAGTAACCACTGGACAGCATTACTCTTGTTATATTGAGCTGCTGCATGTAATGGAGTCATGTTACGCTATAAGAAATAAACACAACAAATAAAGTACATACAAAATGATAAATAAAATCAATTTTTTTACACCATTATTATAAAGTTCTTATAATTTTACAGTATTTTCAACCAGTAACTAATAATGCAAGCATAATAATTCAATGACTATGAGTGTCATCAATAGGATACTGTGTTTGAGGAACATACCGTATTTCCTCATGGAAACACCTACTCCCAATAAATGCCCGTACCTGTATAAACGCCTAGAGACAGCATAAAACATTGACAATAAATGCCCATGCTTGTTTAGATGCCTATGCCACACCCACTTTGCCCACGTGGTTACTGGCACACACTACAGGCAACATAGCAGTTGTAGCTGAGAAGGAAGTTCATAGAAGAAGACTCCTCAGCAATGAATTTAAATGTCTATCCTCATATAAACACCTACTTCATTTAAACACCCAGCAAACGGGTCTCTATAAGAATAAATGCCTAGGTCCTTCCATGAGGAAATACGGTAATTACTCAATGTTAATATAATAAACTGATTTATAACTAAACTGCAGGTACTTTTACATTATACAAGTCATACTAATACACTAGTCACTACATCATACACTTACCCTATCAGGATTACTCCAGTTGATATCTGCCCCATTGGAGAGGGCTGATTTCATTCCTTCAATATTTCCATCTCGAGCAGCATCAAACAACTGTCGGTCCTACAGTATTAACAAGTGAATGAGTGTATTATTAACAGTTATTATAATAGTAATATTAATCACTCCTATGTCTCATTATCACATAATCTCATTCAAACACAAAATTCACAGAATATGTAACCAGTGACAATAACCGACCATAAACAACACATAAACAATACATGTACATATAAAAACAACTTTTAATGGAAAAATACACAAACAACTGAGCCATTAATTTACATGTACTTGTATAACATATGAGAGTATTTATTGACCGTGAGAACTTTGAGAGAAAATGTCTAAATTGATAGGCTGACCAATTAAATTTTGGTAACTTTATTAACTCCTAACACGTGTCAGACAATAATTGACAATAATTTGTGAGTTTCAATTTGGAGTATTCTTGTAATTTAAGGACTTGACAAATTTAATCCCTCACCAATGAATCCTGCAATACAGTACATGTACATGTATATCCTTAT